AAAATAAATAAATATATATATATATAAATCCAACAACATTTACTTCACTTTTTTAAAATAATACATGAAAGTATGATACAAGAGACGAAAATTCCTTAAGAATAGCTTTATTCAGCCAAGGTCGCTTAGGGCAATTTAAAGACTGTTAGTCGATGTTTTCACAAGGAGATAAGCTACACCGTCGAGGGAAATAGCAACTACAAGTTAACCTCGTTGGCAATTCTATAAAAATATAGAATTTGCCAGAGGCCTTGTCTGACTTTAAAGTCACATCTGTCCTGTAAAACACAGACATCTGTACCAATTAGAGGTGTTTTTATGAGACAATGGGTCATGGCTGAAAGTGCAGCCCAAGCGAGATAAGAAAGCTTTCTTGGGGGCAAATTAATGTGGAATAAATTAGCATCGTGAGAAAAAATTTGACTATTACTTGTGCATCAGCTTATATAAACCAATTTGATTAATCTAAGACAGAAAAATCAAGTTGTTTTTGTCGCTGTTTTGGTCGCAGATGATGAAAGTTTTCATTCAAGACCTACTGACTGTGTTGAAGATGACCATCATGACACTGCAATAAGGCCTGGTGGAAACTGAAAAGCTGTGCATTTTCACATGTTTCACCTTTGAGCTGAAATAGTCAATCTCTTACCAGATCGACGTGATGGTCATGAAGACTGCGTAAGTGGCATGTTTCTTGGGATGAAGGCAGGCGGTGAAGACGCCACCAGCGAGCGAGAGCAACCAAGCGAGCAGACGCAGTGCGATCAGTCCGTAGCCTTGAGACGACTCGTAAACCAAAAGGAGGCGGGTGGACTCAGTCGACTGGCCGATGTAAAGAGTCGATTGCAACAAGTTTGCGAGATGAGGAAAAAACAACGAATAAAGTCCGCGTTGAGCTACTAAATGTGATCGAGGCTACTCAATTCTCTGTACTATATACCTTGGCAAGTGAAAATCTTTAAAAAAATCTCAAATTTAAGAAAGTTGCGAAAAATACCATTGTAGAAAATTTAACTGCCATTCCTTCATCGCCTTAAATGAAATAGGGTGAATTAAATTGATATATTAATAAAACACACTGGCAAGTTTTTCCTTTCAATGTATATTCATACTACCACTCAACTGATGCTGATATAAATTAATATGAGATGT